GAATATTGTATGTGTATACTTGATACTTTTCTTTCTTATTCAGTTCAAGTACAAGTGGAAAAGTAATTATGCAAAAATGTTTATGAGCATTAGTTGGGGCCTACAAATTTGGATTGTCAGGTGTAGAAGGATATGCTAGTGCTTTCGTGGTATTGTTATTTATAGTAGAAACAAACATGACAGGGATACTTTACAGTGGCACCGGGGAGTCACAGATGTTGAAATTTAAAGGGAGTCAAATTTTTGTTTGTTCAGGTCAGCCAATATCTTTTTTTTCAGAAATGGTGTTTGTTACCACTTGCCAAGCTATTCTGAATGAACTTCAGCTTGCATTTAGTTTTTCACAAAAAGCATAAGTTGGTTGTTGGTGTGTGTGCGTCCATGCGTGCATGCGTATGCCCAAACAGACCCTGAAGAACTGTTGGATAGCTCACTGGTTTAGATATCTCAATGCAGATTTTTATTTATTTATTAGATTTCTATTTATTTTTATATAAATAAATTACTGCAAAGCTAGAGTTTGGGAGTTCGATTCCCCACTGTGCCTCCTTGTGAGGGACTGGGCTTGGTAGAGTCCCTGTCTGCTCTGCTGTTCTAAAATTATTATTAGCATTTTATTATTAAATTTTAACTATCACACAAAATGTGTTAACACTATACCAATATTTTTTAAATAATGTCATGGCTTGATACTGTAGACCAGTGGTTCTTAACCTTTGTTACTCAGGTGTTTTCGAGCTGCAACTCCCAGAAACCCCAGCCAGCACAGCTGGTGGTGAAGGCTTCTGGGAGTTGCAGTCCAAAAACACCTGAGTAACCCAAGGTTAAGAACCAGTGCTGTAGACGTACTTAGAAGTATATTTGTTCTTAGTGCATGTTTTACAACAGCAAATTTTACTGTAACTATAACATGACCGGATTTTGAGATCTACCAGTGAGCTCCCTATTCCTAATGATAATATGTTGGCTTACCTTTTCCTTCTGCTTGCTTTTATTTCTTCATCATCCTGTTTAATGTATTTATGTGGCTGTTATACAGGATAATTGTGCAGTGACAATCAGCTCCACCTTGTGTAGTTGTTGTTTACTTAGTGTTGTTGCATGCCTTGGAACAGATCCGTTCTTTACCTGGATTTCACAACATGACCATCACCAACTGAACAATTGCTAGTAATAAGTAATAAGCATTAACTATGTAGTAAAGGTTCTAAAATACCATTGATCATTCTGTGCTGTTTATAGCAGATGTGGAAAGGTAAATAAACAAGAAAATTTTATAACTGAAGATGCAGAAGTAAAAGCTTTCAAGAGATATAGTTGAAGATAAAACCCAGTGCTTGAAATACCAAAGCAGAGTAAAATTGGAGGGGAAAGTGTATTTATTACATGGTGGGGTGAGGTTGTTGCATATCCTGCCATCAGTAACAGAGCAGATCATATATATGATGGGCGAGGCTTACTGCATGTTTGGCTACAGTAATTAGAAAACTGGGAATGTGGCAGATTTTGTCTCAGTTGTCTTGTTGACCAGTGGTACTGATGACTGGCTTCCTATCAGTCATAACTTGGACACACCTGGTCCCCCAGATGTTGTTAGACTGTAACTTCAAACAGGATACATGCTGTGCTGTAAATGTGTCTTTTTAGCCAGCATAGCTAGTGGTGAAGCATTATGGGAGTTATGGTCAGCAGCTACAGGGCCACACATCCTCCCTGCCAAGTTATAAATGTGTCTTGTAGTTGGATTGTATGTCTGTAGCCATCCATTTGATTATGAATTATTAAAGAAAAATGCATTAAATAGAAGTGGGAAGCAAAATGTATGATGTTTCTTTGGCAACCAATCTTGCTAAGAAATTCAAATATATTCTCACAACACCTGCATATTGCCTCTGTTTGAAATGGTCACATTGCTATATAGGGGCACATATAATAGAGGTATTATCAAGTTAACTTAAATCTTCTTACTGACTTAACCAAGACTTGAAAAGGAATTAGTTTAGCTACTTTTGAATCCTAGTCCTTAATGATGCAACTGGTACGTGCCATCAGATTGCCTCCAATTCATGGCAAACCATGAATGAATGACCCCCCAGAATGTTGTATCACCAACAAACAACCCTCCACAACTCAAGCAAACCCAAGACTGTGGCTTCTTTTATGGAGTCAATCTGTATAATATTTGGCCTTTTCCCCCGTAATTCTTTTGTTTTTTGTCCCTAGAATTATTAACTTTTCCAGCGAGTCCTGTCTTTTTATGATGTACCCAAAATACAGCAGTTTTAATTTCATAAATTTTGCCTGTATAGAGCGTTCAGGATTGATTTGATCTAAGACTGACTTGTTTATCTTTCTGGCAGTCCATGGTATGTATAAAGCTCTTCTCCAGCACCATAGTTCAAATGAATCATAGAATAATGGCACTGAAAGGGACCTATAAGGCCATTGAGTCCAAACTCCCTTCAGTGTTTTTTACTGTCCAACTCTGGTTTAATGCTCATTACTACTTCTGTTTTAGTTGCTGGCGTAGGCTTAAAACCCCAAAGATAAAGTCCAAAATGCCTGCCCCTATCTTTAGTTCTCCTTGCCTGTGATGAAGAAATAGGGAAAAAAGCTGCTTCATTGTATATGCATAATTAATCAATATTATTCATTTCCTGTGATGAGGTCATGTGAGCAAGTCCGTAGTAACATTATGTTGTTTTTAGTGGAGAAGGCCCACAACTGGTAGGCTGGACCTGCCCACTTCTTTGAGATGGGAGAAAGTGGAAGAAGCCATATGGAGAGGTGCCTTGACTTTTCTTTTAGGACTGCCTTTGTTTCTCGAAATAAAGCAGAATTGTATTCTGTAGAAAGGAATATAGCTCAATATCTTTCTCAGATCACAGTGGTTGGTGTATAAATGTTAGTGAAATATTCTGATAATAAATATCTAGATTGATGAGTAAAATTTGATTTCAAATGACTACTAGGGAATATTTTGCTACATTCCAGATCACTTAGGCTACATAAACACTAATTGAAGCAGTAAGAAAACTATATGAGTTATACATTATTTGCTGATATTGTTTTTTAAAGAGTGTTTTTTGTACTTTGTTCCATTTAGAGAAACATCTCTAATAATCTGTTATTTCGTCATCTGTTTCTCGTGCTCCTCTTCACATACGTTACCTTATGTTGTTGAGTCTGTATCCAGATTTGGTACGCAAACTGAACAGATTGTGCAAAACCTTTCTGCTTTTGGGAAGAACTTTTCTTATCACAACAGATAGTATGATCTTCCTATAGCAACGGATAATCTCTAGGTCACTGCCCTATCCCACGAAACTGCATCAAGTTATAAAACCTGCATAAGTGGAGCTCGCCTTAATCCAGCATCCACAACAGACATAGCAACATAGCATAGTGTAGCATAGTGTGTACTAGCTACTTAATCTGTGACTCCTCTGAAGGATTTACTTACCTTCTTCTGTTTGTTCTGATTACTCAACAGGTTTTGGGTCACAGACCAAGGTAATACTGCATATATTAGGTACATGGTAAGTGCTACGAGCACACTGAACTTACATTTCTTTGGCTTGTGATAACTAGGTGTGTATGAGAAATATTGTGGCTACAATTTTTGTGGATTATGGCCAGGTGGACACCCTCCATGGATGGACTGTTTTTTTTTAAAAAAAAAATCCAGTTGAGACTTCTGGATGGTAGGGAAGGGGAGTGTTTGTTTGTTTCCTTGTTTAGTTGTTTGTTCAGTTTCTCCTATCTGTTGTACATTCCATGTCATCTTCCATATTGTTCCGAGCCTTTCGAAAAGGTCATCTCTGTTGTTTATTTTTGCCTCTGTAGCAAAAAATAACAGTTTTGTAAGGGCTTAGCAGCTACTTAGTTTCATTTGGCATAATCTTTTTTGGGAGGAACCCACTTTTTCCGATACAGTATAGCTGAAGCTAATGGGCTATATTTCATGAAGCCTCGTGCCCAACAAAACATGTTAGTTTTTAAGATGCCACAAGATCTATTGTTTGTATTAGAGTGGATAAAAATCAGTGATCTTTAAAAAAGCAAATTGATTTAAATCATTTTTAAAAATCCAATTTTTAAAATGTAAATCATGATTTAAATTGTGATTTAAATCAAATCCATCCTGGTTTGTATTACCATATTTTTCTGTGTATAAAACAAGACTATTTCCTTAAATAATTAAGACAAAAAATTGAGGGTCGTTTTGTACACAGAAGGCAGCCGCTTTCCCTGCCTTTTGCAAAGCCACAGGGCTTAGCCAAAAGGAAGGGAAGGCTCCTTCGGGTAAAGCAACCATGAAAGGACTGCATGATTGCACCCCTTTGATCCTGAAGCCCTTTCATGGCTGCTTCAGGATCAAATAGGTGCAATCGTGTAGCCCTTTCATGGCTGCGTTACCCACTTTCTAAGCCCCGCATGGATCAAATTTTCTAATTTGGGGGTTAGAAAAAGAGCAGTCGTCTTATACCTTGGGTAATCTCATAAATGGAGAAATACGGTATTCTAAAGTCTTTAGAGCAGACACAGGGAGGTATGCAGAGTGTTGCTGGAGGATGAGTGAGTAAATAAATAAATAAAACAAAACCTTTTCTTTTGCAGGCATAAGATGGTTTTGGAGTACAGAGGGGTGCAGCTGAACACACAGGGTCAGAATGTGTGGCCATTTTGGTGTTTATTATTTGTTTCATTATTGAACAATAACTCCCATGATCCTTTGCCACTGGCTGTATTGGCCAGGGCTTGTGAGAGCAGTAGCTGAACAGTGTCATGGGGGGGGGGGTTCATATTCCTTACCCCTGGTACACTTTCTGAGATTGGTACAGTGGTGCCTTGACTTACAAACTTAATCCGCCCCAGAAGATGTTTGTAAATCAAAACATTAGTAAGTCAAAGCACCATTTCCCATTGAAATGCATGGGAACGGGATTAATCCGTTCCAGCATTTCAAAAAAATAAATAAATACCAAAATAAAAATAAACAGAGCAAGTCCCATGCTGGGACTGCCAAAAAAATCACCAAAAAACAAAATTGACCCTCAATTTCCTCCCTCCAAACAAAAGAGAAGCCACCCACCCAAAACTTTTTTTAAAAGCAGCACTTTACCGCTCTGAAGCCTCCTCAGCCTCCCAGGCTTCTACCGCCACTGTGACCGCCGTAGCCGGGAGGCTTGAGCTTGGCCGGGGTGCTTCGGGTGCTCGCTCCCCGCTTGCTCCTTGCTGCCCTCTGTGGGCCGATGGTGGGAAATTCAAATGACCTCCCAGCCGGGCTCTGACTCCCGGCGCTGGGTCCATTCCCGCTGCTTGCTGAGGGTGGTGAGGAGTGGCGAGGACTGAGGTGGCTTTCCCAGCGAGCAGCTGCTGGTTTCGGAGCTGGAGCCGGTGTCAGGCATCAGCAGCAGCAGCGGTTCGCAGAGGGCAGCGAGGAGCAAACGGGAGGTGAGCTGGGAGGCGAGAAGCCGAAGCACCCCAGCCAGGCATCACTCCTGATGCTGTTCCACCGCTGCTTCCACCACAGCCGGGAGGCGAGCGGCTGAAGCACCCTGGCTAGATTCAAGCCTCCTAACCCTGGGCCATCACTCCCGACACTGGACTGCCACCACATCCCTTTCCCAAACCGTTGGGGTGAAAGAGCTACAAAGAAGCAGCCTCTTTGCTACGGTTAGTACATTTAAATTTCCCGCCCTTTTCCCCTGTCATTTTTCATTTGTAAGTCAAAGCTCTGTTTGCAAGTTAAAGCAAAATTCTGCAAACGGAGCTGTTTGTAACACAAAGTGTTCGTAGGTCAAGGCGTTCGTAAGTCAGGGCATCACTGTATTATGTTCCAGTTGATTTAATTTTTTGACACCCCTGAGAAGATGGAGGGCAAAGCAGTATGTTGTAAATGAAGTTGTAAAATAAAGCTATGGGAAAGCATAGAAATTTCCTTCTATAATGTTTGTAAGATGAAAGAAATTACCCTTTTTTCTGCTTTGGCAAATCAGTTTGGCATGTGAATAAATGTACAATTGAAAGTGGCCAGGGTGTAGGTCTGTGCGATATGCATCACAATACAGTGGGGTCTTGACTTGAGAACTTAATCCGTATTGGAAGGCGGTTCTCAAGTCAAAAAGTTCTCAGGTCAAATCTGCTTTTCCCATAGGAATGCATTGAAAGCCATTTGATCCATATCTGCTCTTTTCCGTCCATAGAAACTAATGGGAAGCTGCTATTCCGCCTTCGACCACTAGAGGGGGATATTTTGTTTCTTTTTTTCTTAGGTCAAGAAAGGTTCCGGGAAGGCAGGGAAAATACAGTCCAGGCAGTACAGTACCAGGCAGTCTGAAGACTGTCTCCCAATCCACTCTCTAAACGCTGGGAGGAGTGAGGAAGCAGACAGGCACCCTTTTCACTGGCCAACAGTTAACTGAAAGTTCAAATTTTGCACTTTCCCTGCCTCCCACATGGTTTTTTTCAATTTGTAACTCAAATCTAAGTACGTAAGTCAAGTCAATATTTTCCTATGAGAGTGGTTCGTAAGTCAAAATGTTCGTAACTCGGGCTGTTCGTAAGTCAAGACCCCACTGTATAACAATTCATTCCATTGTCTCTTTTGTGGGTTTTTGAACAGGAAGTGGGCAGAAAATGAGTTATTAAATGGAAAGGGGAATGTTCAGAGACATGTTGCATTAAACCTTGTTTTAAAAAAACTCACAAAAGTTCAAAATTCTCCTTCCCTGTGATAGAGATATTTTATTGCATGCTGAACAAGAGAAGATAATGTGAAGGCAAATAAGGAGATAATGAGAAGCAAATAATGCAGCTTGAGAAAAGTATTTATGATTAATTTCTTTCTTTCTATCACAGTATTGAATAATTTAAAATACAGTGGTGCCTCACTAGACAGTTACCCCGCATGACAGTCTTTTTGCTAGACATTGACTTTTTGCAATCGCTGTAGCAATTTGCAAAACAGTGATTCCTATGGGGGAATTTCGCTGAACAATGTTTGGTCCCTGCTTCGCAAACCGATTTTTGCTAGACGATGATTTTTACAGCTTCCGCTGTGCTTGCAAAACAGGTGTTTTCGGGACCTAAGCTTCGCAAAACAGATTTAAACAGTTGATCGGCGGTTCGCAAAGCGGCTTTCCTACGGCCAATCTTCGCTAGACAACAACAGTTCTTCCCCATTGGAATGCATTAAACAGGTTTCAGTGCATTCCAATGGAGAAATGCTTTTCGCTAGACAATGATTTCATTAAACAGCGATTTCAGTGGAACGGATTATCATCGTCTGGCGAGGCACCACTGTAATGGAAATATATGAAACATATATTAATTAAAAATTAAAACAAATTAAAATATTAAGATACAGTGGTGCTCCACATAGCGACGTTAATCCATTCCAGGATTAACGTCGCTGTCCGGATTCTTCGCTATGCGAGGGGGGGGAACCCATAGGAACAGAGTTTAATGCGTTCCTATTGGGGAAAAACTCACCGGTAAGCGAAGAATTCCCCATCCGGCCACCATTTCCGCCGCCTCGGTAAGCGAGGCGCGAAAACGCTGCGGGCGGCCATTTTCCCCCAGCTGGGCGGTGCTGGCTTCCAAGTGCCCGTGGTGGACGCTTCCCCGGAAGTTGCTCTGAAGTCAGCGCCACCCAGCTGGGTGGCAGGTAAACGAGGTGCGAAAACGCTGCGGGCGGCCATTTTCCCCCAGCTGGGCACCGCTGGCTTCTGAGCGCCCATGGTGGACGCTTCCCCGGAGGTTGCTCTGAAGCCAGCGCCGCTCAGCTGGGCGGTGCAGGCTTCAGAGCAACCTCTGGGAAAGCATCCGCCGCGGGTGCTCCGAAACTTCTTCCCTCAGCTGGGTGGCGCAGGCTTCGGAGCAACCGCCGGGGAAGCGCCCGCCGGTCAGCTGGGGGGAAATGGGGCCTACGGGGAAAAATCGCAAAGCGATTTTTCCCCATAGGAAACATCGCAATGCGATCGCTTTTGCAATCGCAAAATCCGCATCGCTATGCGGATTCGTCATTAAACGGGGCACTCGTTATACGAGGCACCACTGTAATTAGTTATTTTTGACCAGAAGGTTGCTTCAGTAGCATTATCTCAGCCATGTACTAGATTTTCTTTTGTACAGATGGTGGGGCATAAATTGCATGCACATAAAGTGCTGCATTGATTGAATTTCTCCACAATCACAGAAAATTTGTCCTGTATCCAAGTAGGCCCATTTTACTTGATTATTCTTTGCTTTGAAGTCAATTAATTGGCTTCCAGATGGTCCAGCTAGTTTTATCCTGGTAGGAGACACTATTTGGCATTCATCCATTTGGCAAGGTGTGTTGTTTTTTTTCCCCCATAGGTTTAACCTAGCCTCTGTAGTTTAATATTTATAGCCTGAGATGTATGCCGAAAGTGTCTCTTTGATTTTAGCTGTTATCTAGATGGTTGGTTTCCATCCTATTTCATTCATTATTTGCTAGTACCTCTTGACATATGTCTGGAGGGGAAGTTCCAGCCAACTACGGTGGTGCTCCGCATAGCGAGGTTAATCCGTTCCGGATTAACCCTCGCTATGCGAAATCGTCGTTCAATGGAACGTAAAAGCCCAATTGGCCCTAAACATACCGTTCAGCGAGGTTTCCTCCATAGCGGCAGCCATTTTCCCGCCCTCGGTAAGTGAGGGGAGGGCACGAAAACGCTGCGTGTGGCCATTTCGGGCATCCGGCGGCCATTTTAGAACCACTGAACAGCTGATCGCCCGTCTCTGTGGGAGGCTTGGGGGCGTCGGCAGCAAGAGGAGGAGAAGAGGGAAAGGGGGGGGGAGGACGCACGCGCACGCGGCTTCCCTCCCTTCGCCTACCTGCCTCGCATCCTGCCTTCGTCCCTGGAGGCATCAGGAGTAGGCCGAAGAGGTAGAGGGAAAGTGGGGGGGAGGACGCACGCGCACGCGGCTTCCCTCCCTTCGCCTACCTGCCTCGCATCCTGCCTTCGTCCCTGGAGGCATCAGGAGTAGGCCGAAGAGGTAGAGGGAAAGTGGGGGGGAGGACGCACGCGCACGCGGCTTCCCTCCCTTCGCCTGCCTGCCTCGCAGCCTGCCTTCCTCTTCCCAGCCAGCAAGGCCCCGCATCACTCTTGCGGCGACGGCTCCTTCCTGGCACCCGTCTTTGGCCCGTCTTCAGTAAGCGAGTTTTTTGCATAGGGACGGATGCTATGCCTCCGCATTAGCGATCCCGGAGAAGGGATCGCTATGTGGATTCGTCGTACGGTGCGCTCGTTATGCGAGGCACCACTGTAATAGACTTTTTCAATAGGTGTAGTAGGTTCTTGCATGATTCATTAAGAGCTACATCCACTTGTTTGACATGCACTTGTTTGTACCATATGACACTAACATATTCTGCTTTGGAGTAGCACAGGGACAAAGCTGTTGTTCATATTGTTTGTGGGTGTGCACCCCAGTATAATCCAGCCCGTTTTGGAAGTACTCTACTGTATGTTATTTTGGTATCAACTTTCTGTTTAGTGTTTGGACAGTGGTTTGTTTGTTTAGGGTTGGATCTAGAATGATGCCCAAATACTTAGGGGTAGAGCAGTGTTCCAAAACTTGCCTTTCCAGCTAACTTGGAGCTTCCTCTCAGTTTCTGTATTGTTTAAGTGGAAGACACAGAACTGTATGTTAAAAGGTTTGGTTTCAGCTCATTGTTTTCATAATACAAGGAAATATCTTCAAATGCAGATGTTAGCTGATGCTGAGTAGCCTCAGTGGTTTCTCCCTGGACTGTCAAGTCAAGATCATTAGCACAGATGAAGCTTCTGGGTTATGGGATGATGATCGCTGCTTTGTTGCATGGACTTTCAAGGATAAGAAGTATTGGATGAGTTGTTTTCATCATTTAAAACCACTGACCACTTCTTCTGTGCTTGTTGTCATGTTTATATGTTACTTCTTAAAATGAAAGGATATTAGGTTTTTTAGCAGATATTTTGCACAAGTTATGGAGACCTTGACAAGGAGAAGCAGTGTCCTTGTCTTTCTCTGATGGAAGAACAGTTGGGTATTGAGTTCTTACTGCTGTTGGCCCACAGCATTTCCAAGCTAGTTGTGGAGAAGGGAATGTAACGGAAGACTGATGTGTGCGTTTGTGGCAAGAAGGAAATCCAAGCCGTATTCACCAGGCTATTCACCTCCATAGAATTTCCAGTTGCCTCTGACTACCAGATGAACTATTAAATGGAAAGCTTCATTAAACAGTCCAAAGGAGACAGCATTCTATCAACCATTCTAGGGGAAACTTGCATTCTTTAAGGTTGCAGACATGTTCCAGGATCCAGTGGGAAATCTTTAATGTAAGCCAGATTCAGATTAAGGGGCAGTGATGTTTTTCACAGGTGCATACTCGTCTCATCAGCTTGCCTGCACTGACTTTTCTAAATAGGTAAATTTTGTATCTTTACTGCTAACATGTCATGTTTTCATTGTTTAGTCATGGGCACTCTGGATTTCATGTATATGCAGTCAGCTGTCTTAACATTGTGGAACTACTGTCATTTTTATAGTTGCATAAATAGGCAAATCACTGCCCAGTGTCTTCATTTTTATTCTTGTTTTAAAACAAGATATTTTTATAGAGACAGATTACTGCAAAACTGAGGGGAGGCTATATAAATAATAAATTGCTTTTTTAGGGGAAGCCAATAATTTCTATAGTTTCTGCACGGGGGAAGGGGGCAAAGATCTTAAGAACAAACTATAGGAAGTAACTACAAAAAACATTTGGTACATACATTATTCATTTCTCCCATTTTCCAAAGAGTTTGCACTTTGAAGTGGTTGTATATGAAGTTATTGTGTAGTTGCAGTCAGACAATGCAGACCATATATCCCTGTTAGTGTAAAAAAAATTATATTCAAAGGAGAAGTTTGAGGAAAACCTGTCTCTGCATACATAAGAGTTGATGGTCAGAAACTTACTGCTCCATCTTTGCAAGAAAAATATCCTCACGTGCAGATTGGAGTAAAATTTTTCCATTGTAGGTTTTCTGAGGAAAGACTTCTAAAAACCTAAATCTTTATTCATTACAAGGAGCTGTCAGTGATAACTGTCACTTGTTATTTTTGTATAAAAGGTTTTGGACAATAATGAAATACCTTCTTTATTGGAACACATGAATTCTTCAGACTAGTCCTTGTGGTATATGAAACAGAGATAGATTACTAATTTACAAAGTTGTATTATACGTTTGTGATGAACTTTACTTTTACTTGATTTAGATTTATACTCCGCCCCTCTAGGGCGGCTTACAAAAAATGATAAAATACAATAGAACTGTATAAGAAATTATTTGTTTCACTCCTCTTACATAGTTGACACTTTTATTCAAAGAGCACTATGGTCAGTTAGACACATACAACTATGTTGTTGTAGCACTTACTATTCAGGTATTTTAAAAAGATGATTCATACTGCTGTAATTTTGAATTAAAGGAACAAATATTTGATTATGGTATTGGTCTTAAATTTGTAAGGCACTGCAGAATTAACAGTGAGTACCATCCTGTATACCTAAAAGCAAGGTGAATCTGATTTCAATCATGCTTTAAATTTTAAAAAACACACATTTTTGATTATTTAAATACAATTATTTTAAAGTTCAAATTGTGATTTAAATCAATTTGATTTTTAAGTCATTGATTTTTTTATCCACGTTGCTTAAAAGTAATAATCTTTAATTTCATATTTTACACTTAATTTGAGTCACTGTAGAATTTATGTAACTTCTTTAAAATGTTGCTTTATTGAGATTGCCTGTCGTCATTTTAGAAAAGTGCTTTTTACATTTAAGTGTGGAAGAGCTGTGTTGAGACCCCCTCACATAAATACACACAGAAGATTGTGCAAGTGTGCCAAAAAACACTACAGAATGGATGTACCAAGCTATTATGAGTTTATGTTGTAAAATAGTGCCCAGTATTGACAGTTAAGACTGTTCCTGCCTACAAGGCCAGACATATTTGTTTGTGACCTGTGAAGTAGAGGTATCGTAGATTTTGTTGTTGTTCTTCTTCTCTCTTGGAGGGGGAAGCACCTCATAAATGTGTTGCCTTTACCTGAGGGATGGGAACACATGCCCTCCCAGTGTTGTTGGATTGGAATGATCATCTTTGATCCAGCATGGGTGTGGAAAAGGATGATCTGCCTTGCAGTCTAACAAAATATGTTTCCGATATCTCTTGTATGCAGAGCAATTGGGACAGACTGTCCTACTGCCATCTTCTGCCTGGAGAACAAGAGAAAGAAACACGATTCCCCAGTGCATGTTTATCAAAAATCTCAGGTGCCTTCATATTGTCTGAAGGGGCAAATGTAATAGATCAAAATTGTAGGACTCATTTGTGCCATCAAGGTTTTTGGAAAAACCCTGATGGTAGTATTGGCATTAATAAACATGCATCTAATTCCTCTGGTGAATTAGTTACTGTACAGAATACATGGGTCAGATTTGGATAGTCTGACACTGTGGTTTGGAGAAGTGGGAATGAATAGCAGTTAGTGTTGGGCTCACAGTGCCCATTAGTGCCCATTATCTACTTCTCTTACACTCACGCCCGTGCCCATTCATGGCCTTCCTTTTTCCTTTGGTGCGTATCTTGAGGTCTCCATATCTTGGAGGTCTTGGAATTATTTATGTGAAAGTCATATTGATTTACTTCTGTTTTGAAGTCTTTTTAAAGTGTATATGAATCATTGGACTTTCTGTGTCGCTAGCTTTTAGGAGTTGGTATTCCAACGTGAATGAAATTGTCTCAGTTTTATAGCATATGGGGGGGGGGACCTTTGCTTTCTTTAACTGCACTGAAACCCAAGGTGAAAGAAAAGGATCAGGGTAACTGGTGTAGGACTCCTAGATAGAAAGTACCATACATTTTACTTGGTCGGAACTTAATATTAGTGAAGATTTTTTTTGTATAGAATTACAGTGGTGCCCCGCTTGACGACGATAATCCGTTCCAGCAAAATCGCTGTAGAGCGAAATTGTCATAAAGCCAAAAAAAAACCCCATTCAAATGCATTGAAAACCAGTCAATGCGTCCCAGTGGGGGAAATACCTCACCTTCCATTGGAGATCCTCCATAGGGCGGCCATTTTCCGGTGCCTGTCTTGCAAAGAATTCATCCTGAACACAGCAGGGAGCCATTTTGAACACGCAAAGATCAGCTGTTTTTGATCATCGTTAAGTGAAAAATCGGTTCCTGAAGCAGGAAACCGATCGTCATCAAGCGAAAAAATCTCTTTGAATCATCATTTTGTGATCGCAATAGCGATCGCAAAAAACTTATTGTAAAGTGGATTTGTCATTAAGCAGGGTAATCATCAAACGGGGCGCCACTGTATTAAGAAAAGAGGGCTCTAGAAGATTTTATTGTAACTTTTCAAATGGAAGTTTATATATGGATAATTTGTATGGACATTGTTAAGTCCAATACAATAAAGGTAGTGCTGCTGCAAGCTGTTTTGCTTGGTTTGAAATGCTGGATAAATTCCGAGGTTTAGGTACATGGCTAGGGCAGTGGTTCCCAACCTTTTTTTAAAGTTGTGACTCCTTTTATAATAGCCACATAACCTGCGACACCTCCTTGCCATATTTGCATAAAAAGGCATTTTTAAAGGGGTAAAGTCATCCCTTCTCAGAAATTAGAGGTTTCTTTCTTCCGTAAAATGCCTGTTTCTCTTACATACACATGCATACGAACTTTAATACCCCACTCTGAAAGGTCAAGGAAGAAATTATTAAACACATATAAGTAGCCAGAAAACACTTTGCAATGCCCTTGAGAGTCATTATCCACACATTGGGCTAGAGGTTGTGAGTTTGATTCCCCACTGTGCCACCCTGACAGGGGCTGGACTTGATGATCTATAGGTTGCCTTAAATTCCAAGATTATTGAATCATTGCCTTGATTGAAAGATAATCTATTATGATAATTCAGTTCAAAAACAGGTGCTTCTTTTAAAGGTTTCTGCTCATAAGAAGCTATTTATTTATTTATTTGATTGATTGGTTGATTGACTGACTGACTGACTGACTGACTGATTGATTGATTGATTGATTCCCTGCCTATCTGGCCCATCGGGCCACTCTATTGTTAACTGAACAACTTTTCGATCATTGCTTTTAACAGGAATGCCCAAAGAAAAGTACGATCCACCTGATCCACGGAGGATGTACACAATTATGTCCTCAGAGGAAGCAGCAAATGGGAAAAAATCACACTGGGCAGAGTTGGAAATAAGCGGTAAGAGAGGAAAAGCTGTTTAATGGGAAAGCAGGGTGGCAATAACTGGTTATCATTTAAAAATTTTAAATGGAAAAGGCCAACTGTTGTATTAAATGTGCTATTGCAAAACAGTATGTTTTTGTAAAACTTTGGCACTTCATGTATGCCTTTTTTAACTTATCCATCCTAGTAGCCTAGCCACATACCAGCCAAGTCTGGTAGTTAGATTAAACTTTTTATTGTTTAATTTTTGTCACTTGTTTGCCTCTTTTACTTATTTAAAGTAAAAGTGAGTGATGCACCCACCCTAAGAAAAACAGTTCAGCTGTGTAGTTTTCTACAGTGAAGACTGATAAAAATTAAAAAAGAAAAACGTCATGAAATGCACATGCCTTCTTGGCTGGTATTTAGTCATTTTATTGTTGGCCTTAATGGGTTGGATGCTAAGTTGTCCCCCAACAGCTGGATCTTATTATTTATTTTATTGGTTATATTTATATCCCACCCATCTAGTATCTCAGTGCTACTCTGGGTGGCTTTGGTTAATATACTTCTGCTCTGCAACATTGGATTTAAAGAATTAAAAATAATTAGTTGTAAAGAGAGGAAGCGTTTAAAAAATGATAGGAAACAAGTACACTTATAGAATTAAGCCCATGGTTGCTTCCAGCTGGTCAGAAGCATAGATGTTTATTACATCACAAAATATTACCTGTTGCAATTTTATATATACCCTCTTAGTGTGGAAATTAGTATGGTCATTGATTATTATACTTCCTCCTTTGACTGCCTCCTTAATACCCCTCTTCATCTTTTTTCTTCTCCTCTAGTGGTATGTACCATTTATCAAGGCTCTGATGCTATGCATACTTACATACTGGGGCTTTATGTGGGAGGAAGCATGCCTAAAATCTGGCTGTAGATAAATCTGAGACCTGTCTTTACACCCATTATGATTCTGTGAAGGACTTAAGTTTCTAATTTATTGGAATATTTTCTGTTGTTTGGTACACCCAGTACATTCTACCCTATCTTTCTGCATATGCAGAGTTTATCTTATTCCATTAATTCTCATAATTCTATCAGGGTTGCAATAGACTTATGCATCCACGTCCTTTTTAAAAAAGATTGTTGTACTCTCCTGGTTCCCTTTCACTGGTTCTACCCTGTTTTCCCGAAAATAAGACAGGGTCTCATATTAATTTTTGTTCCAAAAAGCGCATTAGGGCTTATTTTCAGGGGATGCTTTATTTTTTTCATGTACATCTTCTGGTTGCTGCACAATGGTGGAGGGCTTTCACTTAACGGGCTTATTTTTGGGGTATGGCTTATATTACAAGCATCCTGAAAAATTATACTAGGGCTTATTTTCAGGTTAGGTCTTATTTTCAGGGAAACACGGTAATGTTGGCATAGACAATGTATATATTGTTTTATCTCAAAATGTCTTACTTGCATGCAGTTTTTCTTACAATTTCTTGGCATTTAAATGGCCATCTTTTTAATTTTGTTTCAAACTTCTACCTTGTTCTTCTATTGATGATTCAGCCTAAGGGATGAATCATCTTGAATTAAATGTTCCCTAGCTTCTGTTCCTTTCTTTCAGAAATATTTTTCAAAACTCCTCTAAAGCCTTTTTGATGTTGAACACCAGATGTTTACCAGTGATGCAGAAGTTCTGATTTGGAATGTATAAATGATGAATACTTAAGTGCTGTACTTTAGGAAACAGCTATTGGTAGAATATTCTGCAGGTACTAGAGTACAAATTTATAAAGTTCCCCAGGAAGGAGGCTGCCTATGTATTCTTTGTTGGTAATGAGGAAATGCAGAAACAGTGGATAATGGTATCAAAGAATTTCAAATGTTTATTGAACTCAGTGCGGGAACTGTGCCTACAACATATGCATATGTGAAAAAATGTTATTCTCACATTTTTTAATTTAAAATCATTATTCTGGTGTTGTTGGAACATATTTTCTTGCTTTCAGAACCTGTCCCCCATATTACCTTTTTGCTCTTTGGTCATGAAAATGTGTTGATATTCCGTAAGCTATGTGCTGTGTTTTGCTTGTGTTAGCTTCATAATTTCTGCTTGCTTGTAAAGAAGCATTTTATTGCTTTTGGAGCACAAAGTCTTTAAATATAAAAGACGAAACATTTTGCATTTTAAATCATGAAAGGTATATCACACAGGAAGGGAAAGAGATACAATACTGTAGTTATGAAAGTTGTTTTACCTTTTTCTTATATTACAGAAATGCTTACACAAGTGCAGGATTAGACATAATTTCTGTGTTCCTATTATTTCCCAGGGAAAGTTAGAAGCCTCAGCTCATCTTTGTGGTCACTGACCCATTTGACAGCTTTGCATCTCAGTGACAACTCCTTATCCCGTATTCCTTCAGACATTGCCAAGCTTCACAATCTTGTATATTTGGACTTGTCATCTAATAAAATCCGCAGTTTACCAGCAGAGCTCGGAAACATGGTGTCACTCAGGTACATGCGAGTTCAGTGTAAAATCGCTTAAGATTTCTTCATTGTTTTGTATTGTGAGTTAGCTGATTTAACTGATTGTTAGTCCTTGTCTATTACTGTGGCTTCGGAACTAAGATCTACTGGGCTGATTTATTTTCAATATGCACTAGTATTTCTGATTCTGTTGTCCACATTCTTTAATCCAGATGAGAATTCTTCTGAATTCCAGGGAATTGTATGTGCACAGAGTTGTTCATGTGAGCTCCCATTCCTTTCTGTTTCCCCCCTCTCCATTTTTTAATCACCGTGAACTGAAAGTTCCCTGTGCTTGTCTTATCATTGTGAGAGCAGAGAACTGTTTTTCAAAGGAACAGAGACAGAAATTTCTGCATAGCCCCCGGATCAGGTCCTAGTTCTTTAGCATTGATGGTGATAAAACCATAAGGATTTTATTTTACTGTATATCAGGTGTCATTATATGCTTGCCCTTTTTGCTACACAGTATTCTATAGATTTAGAGGAGGGACAATGGAAATTTTATTTTATACTTCTTGTGATTCTTTGCAATTGTCATTGCTATGTAAACTGCCACAAGTAAAAATATCACTAAGTTGGGAGGTATATAAACAGATGATGTTCAAAGTTTCATGGACATTTTTCCTAAAATGGTCTGTCCTTCAGAGCTGTGTTTTCGCTGATGCGCATACAGTATTTTTGTTGCTTATTAAAAGTGCTAAATTTACTAGATATCAAATGTAGAGTTCCCAGGTACCTTTTCCTTAAATCCTGTCATCTTCTGTGTATGGTTTGATGATGATGATGATAATGATTTGGTTTGATCTGGCAGCCAAGGCCACTCTGGGCTGTTTACATCAACTAAACAGAATAACAATAAAATAGCAAAATATGACAATAATAAATCAACAAATTAGAAAGTGCAAAAGAAAATATAAAATACAGTGGGAGACATAGTGGAATAGAATACATTACATTTAATAGCATAAAACATGGCGGTATGTTAAATGTTACACTCTCAGAAGCACTTTTGTATTAGGATGTTATTTGTTCTGGAAAGGCCTGCCCAAATAGTTTTTAGTAGTTTTTAATAGTTTTTTAAAAGTGCCTAGTGAGGGCACTTATTATGGCATATTTCCATGACAATAGTAACAGATAACTTGGCAATACCTCTGATGTTCTTGAAACCACTTCATCAAAATCAGAAATTCAGTATGTAGTTCTGTTTCCTGCTGGCTTGTTGGTAATACTCTTGGCAATGTTAAACTGCAACATAAATCAGTATAAAAGAATCGGCAGTAATATTGGTATTCAACACTTACCAACATATTGTTGTAAGTTGTTTCATACTAGAAGCAGACAAAGAAATTAGTTAGTTCTTTTATTTATTATCTTATCTAATTATCTGGATGTGTGTTGCTGCAGTTTTTTCTTCAGATTTGCTATTAGCGTTTCTGGAGCAGATTGTCTGAAAATATTCAGTTCTGTTTTGTATTGCACCCAGCGGTGTTAGTGTCTTGCTTGTTTTGCTTCAAGGCTATGTTTTGTGGACTGTCTGTATTCAACACTGCTTAGATTAATTGGTAGAGACCTGGAAGGAGGAGGGAGATGCAAGGAAGAGAACTTTGCCCCGTCTTTCCTTTTTCCCCACACAGCAATTCCAAACCTCTTTCTTGCTGCCACCTTCCACCTGAAGGGAGACATAACATTTATTATTTGTGGAAAGGCACTCTGCAGGATGCACTTCTCTAAACCCTCAGTTGTTAGTTGGATGCTGACATTGTTGAGATGGTAGAGCTGATCTAGGCATCCCGCCCATTACCAGCGTGCTTGTGCATGGGCAAGCGCGTAATAAGATTATGTGCTCTAGCATACTAGGACCTACTTTTTGGGTATTCAGTGGTGCCTCGCAAGACAAAATTAATCCATTACACGGTTAATGCCGTCCACTGAAAATTTTGTCTTGCGAAGCACTTTTTCCCATAGGAATGCATTGAAATTTAATTAATGTGTTCCTATGGGGAAAAAAGTCAGAAACAAAAAAATTTAAAATAAAGTCATTTATCAGGTACTGTAGACTGAGCCTGGCTCCTCACAGTGCCTTGGTAGCCCCCCAAAAGTCAGAAAAAGAGCGCCAAACAGCTGAGAGCCTGTACCCAGCAGAGAGGCGGCAGCCATTTTGTGCTCTGTTCCACTCCCGCCCCCCTCCCCGGCTTACAGCTGATCGGTGCTGGGTCTTAGAGGCTTGCCCAGCACCAAAAAAGGCAGGGAAAAAGAGCTGGAAATAAAAAAAATGGTGCTTTTCCTCTGCCGCCGGGGAAGCCTCTGAAAGCAGCCCTGCCCCCTCCCCCGCTGGCATATAAATTTAACAAAACAAAAATATAGAAATGAATTATATGTATTGATGTGACTTGTAAATGTGTTTGCTACTTTTATCTAAATTAGGCTATGTTGAGAATAATTACATCCTGTAATTGAAGGTTGTTTTTTTTTAAGGAAAAAATATGGTTCACTTTTACATACCAATAAAAGTAAGCCTCAGGGATGGTATATGGCTCTATTATTTTAGATACCATAAAAGTTGTAATTGTTAAGTGCAAAAACAGCATAGTTCAAATTCCACAGATAGAACTTACAAAACTTCGTTCCCCTCAGTCAATAAACTCTTGATGTGTCCAGCGATCATCCTGTTCGCTAGGTAGGCATTAAGCATTCTGTTAATTGAAAATAAATGAATATACCATGACTTCTTATGAACTTTCTAACATTTGAACTATAATTCGTGAACTTAGCAATGTGCAAAAAGGGCATTAAAAGCACATTTAGTTGGATTTTATACTAACATGAGATTGACACGTATTGAGAGTGTGTGGGCAAACAAGCTACGGTGGTGCCTCGCACAACGAGTGCACCGTAGAGCGATGAATTTGCTCTACGAGGCCGGTTTTGCGATCGCAAATGCGATTGCATACCGATGCCTGCATAGGGCGAAAATCGCAGAGTGAAGGTCGGTAAGCGGTTCGCTTACCGACCTTCGCTTTGCGACCCGCCGATCAGCTGTTCAGCGGGTCCAAAATGGCCGCACGCAGCATTTTCGCGCCCTCATTAAGCGAGGGGAGGGCGCGAAAATGGCTGCCGGCCATTGAAAAAGCATCGCTGTATGGTGAGTAAAGCTGCTATTTGAACGCATTAAACTAAGTTTAATGCATTCCAATGGCTTTTTCCTTCCTGTACAGCGATGTTTTCACACAGCGAGGGTTAATCCGGAACGGATTAACCTCGCTGTGCGAGGCACCACTGTACTTTATTGGGCATGACACCAGGCAACATAGATGGGATAGAGAGTTATCCAGTGACCTATGCAGCTTCCAAAATTAAAAAGCATTATGTTAAAAATCTCAAGAAAGCAGAGATAATGAAACAAGAGAATCTTATTGTGAAAATATGGGAAGTGACAAAAATGGATATTCTGTCAGATGGGCTGAAAGACTGTTCAATTCAAAAGGAAACTGAACGATGGGATGTATTGGGTAAATGGCTGCAGTTACCAGATAGTGTTGGAGTAACATAGAATTAAACTAAAATTAAATTATAAGATGAAAGCAGGAGGTTAATCAAATTGTGAAAAAGCAAAAAGTTGATTTGTTATTGTAATACAGTATGAATTGATTGTGTTTTCCTATCCCCCTAACCCTTTTCCCCTCTTCCCTATTTCCCCTTACTTTTTGTATTCCCTACCCTGTCCTTAAATAAATACTTAAAAAAAACTACTGTTATGGCCGTTTGCTATTTTAACCAGCAATCCTGATTGTAGGAATCATTGTTCTGCCATTTTTACTTCATTAGCAATTTAACAGATAGTGCTTAGAAGACTTCCTAGTTGGTTTGCTTTTAATGTTTAATATTTTTTTAAATTTTGCAAAATTTCTAATCTTTATAATTTAGTGTTTCATTGTTTTTAAATGTGCTTTAAGATGCGCTTTTGTGGTTAAAACAGTAGTTTAAAATAATTAACAATGTATACTGTATTACTTTTGTCTTCATGTGACTTGCTAATAGGGAACTCCATTTAAATAACAACCTGTTACGAGTTCTACCATTTGAGCTGGGAAAACTGTTTCAGTTACAGACACTGGGTTTGAAAGGTATGCACTTTAAAAAATTGTCTTGCCCTTTGTCTGTTTTTAATTTGCTCTCAATACCTCAGTATTTAGTACTACCAAACTGATAAAATTAAAGATTGAAAATGTTACTTTTTTTTATTGCATCTCCCCAAAGCCCTCATCAAAGCTTATATAAATCAGCTGTAGTCCCCAAAGCTTCAATGGGGGCTTTGGGGAGATGCAGTCCAAAATATATATCTCCCCAAAGCCCCCATTGGGGGGGGAATTAGTAGAATAAGATTTAAGTTTTCTGAAATTGAATCCTTAATGAATTTTTTTCACACTGCTTTGCTTCTTGAAAAATGCTCTCTTAAGTAATTTACCTAACTGCCCCTTTTCATGCTTGTACTTGAAGCTTTGTTATAGACTTGAGTTTGTCTTCCCCCATCTACCCACGCAGCAAGCCAGCACAAATCAAGCTAGCTTAATGATAAATTTATGAAGTGAAGGCCTAGGTTTTCCTTAATAACCTTGTTTCTAGTGTTCTGAATTGAACATGTCAGAAAAAAACACCTAAATCATGTTCTAAAGGTCTGTTTTTTCTTCTTTCTAAACACCTTTATAGGAAACCCACTTACACAAGATATTCTGAATCTCTACCAGGAACCAGATGGAACAAGAAGGCTACTGAATTATTTGCTAGATAACCTGGCAGGTACTGCAAAAAGAAGTAAGTGTGACTTTCTAACACATGTATTTGCGCCCTTTAAAAACAACAACATTATCTCATATTTATTTTTGTCTCTCTTAATAGTTTCAACAGAACAGCCACCTCCAAGATCTTGGATTATGTTGCAAGAACCAGATCGAACAAGACCAACAGGTAATGCTGAAGCAGTCTGTCCTTTCTATTCTTAACAAATCAATTTTACCAATTCTTAGCCTTTCTAGCCACTTTTTTCTTAAAGCCTACTCGTTTATAGACATTGTAGAGGCAAGTATTGTAGAGGAATCTCAAAGGTAATCAACCCATGACCCCTACCAGTGCTTGAAATCCACAGATAAAGTATCCTTGACAGATGGCTAGCCAACCTTTCTTTCAAAAGCAATAATGAAAAATCCACTACCATCCATTCTATTATCACACAGCTCTTACTATCAGCATGTTTTTTCTTAATGTTTAGTCAAAATCTCTGTTCTTATAATTTGAATCCATTCAAATCCTACTCTGGAGAAGAGAAAACAAGCATGTTCCATATGCTACAAGATAGCCCTTCAAATGTTTAAAGATATCATATCACCTATCAGTCTAACACTATTTCTCCTGTTAAAAGTATTATACATTAGTTCACACATGCTGTCAAAACGTACTTGAATAAGTTATTTTGTTGTTATGTGCCATCAGGTCTTCTCTGACTTACGGCAACCCCATGAATGGATGACCTCATGAACAGATCTGCTCAGCTTTTATATACCCAGGACTGTGGCTTCCTTTGAGAAGTCAGATCTATCTCATATACAGTGGTGCCTCGCTTAGCGATGTTAATCCGTGCAGCAAAAATCACTGCTAAGCGATTTCGTTGTTAAGCGATTTTAAAAAGCCCATAGAAATGCATTGAAACCCCTTCAATGTGTTCCTATGGGCTCCAAAACTCACCTTAAACGAAAATCCTCCATTGCGGTGGCCATTTTCAGTGCCTCTAAAGCAAGGCAAAACAGCGGGCGGCCATTTTGGATCAGCTGTGCGAAAATGGGGGCTTTGCGATGATCGCTTCCCCGTGATCATCGCAAAGCCCCACCAATCAGCTGTGCGAAAATGAGGGCTTTGCGATGATCGCTTCCCTGCGATCATTGCAAAGCGAATTTTCCCCATAGGGGCCATCGCAAAGCAGTCACTTTTGCAATCGAAAAAACAGCGTCACAAAGCGATTTCTTCGCTATGCGGAGCAATCGCTATGCGAGGCACCACTATACTTCTTGCTTATTTTAACTTTTCCTTGCAAGAATTCATTTACATGGTAGAAAAATGCTCACCAATACCCCATGTTTCTATTCATTTACCCTCTCTGGGCATTAGTCAAGGACTTTATATATTTTCTTTGGTTTCCATGGAAACTAGCATTTGTGATTTCTGGGTGCTAAAAGCTCTCTCCCCTTTTGGGTCACAAGGTTCCCAAAGGGTTCCCCATGTCAAAAGGGATCCATAGGGAGCCTTGGAACCTTGGAATGGGGTCAGGGAGGGGGGTAGGAAACTTTTTGCTAAAGATTCAATTCCATGGATGATGATGTCATCAGCCATACAGATGGGAAGCTACACAAACAGGATTCTGGTCATTGATTCGTTTTGGAAGTGCTTCTGATTTTTAAAAATAAATGCAGTCCAGTTATTGTGATAGTAATTCTTAAAGTAAATTCAGATTGAATTTACATGGCCTCAAATCATGTAAACTTATTTCCACCTTCACTAGTTCAATCCTGGGCAGCCCATATACTCAGAAGTACTGCTAATTACATTGGCTTTTACTTAAGTATATTTTAAAATACTTACAAAGGAAGGCGTCAGTTAATATGAGATTTCAGTTAATTGAGACTTAGCTGTTAGAGCAGTATGACAGTGGAATGAATTATCTCGGGAGATAGTGAGTGCTGCAACACTGGAGGCATTCTAGAGAAATTTTGACAGCCATCTGTCAGATCTCCTTTGACTTGGATTCCTGCATTGAGGTTGGACTCAATGGCCTAAGTAAAGGTTATCCTCATCTTTGAAAAAGTTCTTCAAGTGAGTTTTAAGTTGTGTTTACAGTAGTGATTGATCATGTAGGAAAAGTTCTTCACTTCCTTGTAAAGTATATAGTACCAGTATATTACCAACAACAGTATTCTTCCTCGGTGGATGAAACAAATATATGTGTGTATTTATTACAGCCTTTTTTGTACTTTTTTGTTGTACAAAAGTAGCACTTAAGAGATCTGTGAAATTATCAGTATAAAATAAAGCGATAAGTCAACAGTTAAAATGAATTATCTGCCATCTATTTTCTGTAGAGCACAACCATAAATAGACTGTTTTCTAGGGTCAGCTACTCAACTGTATTTTGAAGTAAGTAGGGAAAATCTAAAAGTGATTTAACATATTGATCAAAATCCTATTGGTACTGCAAAATTGTGCTGCAAGACAGCCATCATGCTCCTCAGTTTTGTAAGGGTAGCCAATTGTATGCTCCTTTACATGCTTGATGACACATTGAATGGCAAGCAGCAAGGACAGCAATATTCTTTGGTTGCCTGTACACCCTTAGTTCTTCCAATAAGTATTTTGGCCATTGAAAAGAAAATTGATTAATGATGTCACATTCTGTATAAATTAGATAACCTTTGTATGTTAAACCCTTATTGCACAGCTCTGTTTTCTGTCATGTGTTACAACGTCCTCTGTGATAAATATGCTACTCGGCAGCTATATGGTTATTGTCCATCATGGGCACTGAACTGGGAATACCGGAAAAAAGCTATTATGCAGGAAATCCTAAGCTGTAATGCTGACATTATAAGTCTTCAGGTGAGAAGTGACTTTCCCCTTTCTAAGTACTCATGCATTCTTCACTGTTTAAATGTAGGTAGTTTATGTCATTGTATAAGATGGTGTGTATCGGTATATGACATCTAGAAAAGAAAATAGCTATCACTTGTTTTCAGAACTATTCAGATATAACTGCAGTAACAAATGCAGAATAGTTAAGAATAACCATAAACCTTAAATGCTGTCTCTCCCAGCCCCCACTCTGCAGTGAGAAGGCAAGAGAGTCATTTCCTGATTTATTCTTCTTGAGATTCAATTGCTCTCCCATCTGTTAGAAGGATGGGATATGTGGCTGCAGATGATGTGCCAAGCTAGCAGATGCAGTTAAAAGAGTTGTAGAGCTTCTCTGTTGGGGATTACATGGGTCTCGAAGCAGAAAACAGGAATTAGGGTCAGCCTGCTGGCCAATGCACACTTCATCAGACAAGGGAAATTCTATGTTGTTGCTTGTACTAAATATTGTAGCATATTTTGTCTCAAGAGCTTGAGGTGAGCATTAATAAATCAAAGTGAGCATTAATGAATCAGAAATTGTATGTGAAATACACGATTCAGGTTGTAGTTAAAAGTGATCAAATCTCTGTTTAGCTTCCCTGCCCATCTCCTCCATTCCATTCTTAAAATACATAATTCTTTTCATTCTGGCCTGGTTGTTTTCCTTAATGTTAGGAACATACTGTAAATCTTGTCTGAGAATGGATTTAGCATGTACCTTCTGGTGTGTGTCATGTGATGAGTCTTCTGAGATGCTGTGTCACTAAAATTCTGACAATTAGAAAAACAAGCACAGTTTGTTATGCAACTGAAGCACTTGCTTGCCCTGTGTTTCTTTACGAAAACTATACACTGCAGCTTTCTGGTTTTTAAGAAACTTACCCTAATTCTGGATTGTTCAGTCCTTGATGATTGCTTTTTATGGAAACTCTTATTCATAAAAGTTTTGGATATTGGAAAATGTGATATTATTAAGAGGTACAGTACTATAGGTTTATTACAGTTGCTGGTGTACTGTTATAGGTCACTGGATTCATTTACAGTTTGGTTCATTATAACGATAATTTTGTGGATCACCTGCTATCCAGCTTGATCTTCTGTGAATTCTTTGGGTTCCAGATCTAGTTGTTGAACAAAAGAATGATATAAAATATAGCTGGTGACAGTTCCAGCATATTTACTTCTTATTCTATAAACCTCATTTTGAATTTAACTTAAATGCTTATTACAGTGTTATTTCTGATGTGTTCTACCTTTTGAAGTGTTGGATCATTTCAGTTTTAAAGTGGATGTACCTGCTAAACAATATCAGATTTACTACTTTTACAAGTCACACACAGATGGGGGCTTAGGGGTCTATTTCATTCTCTTTCATTCAGTTGCTTCTGTAGTCTATTCCCTACAGTTTAAAATGCTGATTGTTGGGTAATCATGTCCCACTCTCCCTTAGAAAGCTGAGAACAGCACGCAGGATTTGGTTGATCCTGTGTACACCCATTTCTATGGAATGTAAAAGCTCCCCTTTTCCTTTCTTCCCCCCAAACCCCAGGAGTCTCATATACACTGGAGGCACAGTTTTCTCCTAAAACTAGGTGTGCCCTTCAAGACATTTTCCCCCTGTGTCAAATTCAAGTTTTGTTTGTTTGTTTTTAAAATGGAAGTGGTCTTCCGTTCACTTTCATTTTCATTTGGAGATGCCCCTTCATATTTCTGGCCCCTGGACCTTGGAGCTTGCCCACTCCTGTCCTAGACGATTTGGGAAGCCTTCTTCCTGCAGTCATGGCCAAAAATATTGGCACCCTTGCCATTATGTCAGAAAATGCAATCCTCTCAGAAAATTGTTGCAGTTGCAAATGTTTCGGTACTCACATGTTCATTTCTTTGGTTTCTATTGGAACAACACACACACACACACACACACACACACACACACACAAAAACAGAGAAGAAAAGTCAAACCTGATACAATCCCACATAGAAACCCAAAAATGCACTGGCCAAAATTACTGGCACCCTGTATAGAGTGTAAGAAATAATTGCTTTTCAAGCATGTGATGCTCCTTTAATTTATATTTAGACACAGCTGTCACAATTAAGAGGTGTGGCAATATAGTAATCACACTTTCAGCCGGTTAAGATGGAGAAAAGTTGACTCAACCTTTGTGTTGTGTGTGACACTGAGCATGGAAAAAAATGAAATGTAAAGAGTTGTCTGTGGATTTGAGACAAAAAATTGTGGAAAAACATCAACAATCTCAAGGCTACAAGTCCATCTCCAGAGATCTTAATGTTCCTGTGTCCTCTGTGTGCAATATCGAGGTTTACAGCCCATGGCACTGTAGCTAACCTCCCTGGACGTGAACAGAAGAGCCAAGTTACAGAAAAATTACAATGAAGGGTTGTTTGAATGGTGGATACAGAACTCAAATTAATTTTCCAACAAATTCAAGGTGATCTGCAGACACAGGGTATAACAGTGTCAGCTTGCACTATCCGTTGCCATCTGAATGAAAAGGGACGCTATGGAAGGAGACCCAGGAGGGCACCACTGCTGACACAAAGGCATAAAAAACCAAAACTGGAGTATGCCAAAACTTATGTGACAAAACCACAATCCTTCTGGGAGAACATACTGTGGACAGATGTGGAAAAAGTAGAGCTTTTGGGTCAAAGGACATCATGGCACTGTTTACAGAAAAAGAAATGAGGCATTCAAAGAAAAACACAGTCTCTACAGTCTAACATGGTGGAAGTTCAAAGATGTTTTGAGGTTGCTTTGCTGATTCTGGCACTGGATGCCTTGACTTTGTGAATGGTATAATAAAATCTTTTCCCCCCTGAATATTTCTTTAAGAGCAGGGTAGGGTATACAAAAAGTAAGGGGGAACAGGGAAAAGGGAAAAAGGGTTAGGGGGATAGGAGAACATAGAGTATACAATCATCCGATCAATTCATATTACAATAACAAAACTTTTTGCTTTTTCATAATTTGATTAACCTCCTGCTTTCATCTTATAATTTAATTTTAGTTTAATTCTATTTTACTCCAACACTATCTAGTAACTGCAGCCATTTATACAATACATCCCATCGTTCAGTTTCCTTTTGAATTGAACATTCTTTCAGCCCGTCTGACAGGATATCCATTTTTGTCATTTCCCATATTTTCCCAATAAGTTTCTCTTGTTTCAGTATCTCTGCTTTCTTGAGATTTTTAACATAATGCTTTTTAATTTTGGAAGCTGCATAGGTCACTGGATGACTCTTTATCCCATCTATGTTACCTGGTGTCATGCCCAATAACATCGGTTCTGAAGTTTGTGCAACTTCATTTAACTGTTGTTTGGCATCTAACGTCCCCTCTTTCATCAGATCTTCTATTTTGCTAAGACCTTCATTCACTTGCTGAAACCCTGTTATTATTGTCCTTTGCATAGTAATCTGCCATTCCTTTTCTATTTCTTGTACAACTATTCCTAAACTTTGAGCTTTCACAGACCAAGTCTCCATTTGATGTCTTAAATTTTGGGGGGCCATCTCAGGCTTTCAAATAAGTGGGGTTTGTATAGATGATACTATGTCCTTAACCATAATAATCGCCCCTTAAATATCCTTCAACAGTTTCCACAATTTTATCAACAATCCAAACCCCTATAAACCTCCCCTTAGATCTCCCTCCAATCTTTATCCAAATATTATAATATAAAAATCAACTTTTAACCCAGCAAATTCAAATTCAACTAGAACCATGGCACAATTATTTCTTCTTCTCCCAAGTCTAGCAAGCTACTATTATCAGACTCACACACAGCCCAAACAACCATCACAGAGTCTCAGACTGTCCAGTAGTTGTCCTTGAAGCCCGTCTTATGATCTTTCTATTAACCCATTGATACTCCTCAGTCCAGTCGACCACGTCAGCTCCTTCTTCTCCAGAAAACCACCAGATTCTATTATCAAAAGTTCACAGAGTCCAGGAAAGAGAAAAGAGAAATACGTCCAAGCCAAACTGCATTCACAAAACTCAAGTCTCTTGAATCCTCTCCGATGGTATTACCATCTGGGATTCTTTTCCAGAAACACAAGATTTATTTTTCCGTCTCACTCTCTCGGCTTTGAAATCAGTCTGCTGTATTAAAATCAGTCGCTTTTGAGGCAGACTGATAAGATAGGCTCGCCACTGCTTTTCTTTTTTCAGCCAAATATTTTCATTCTTATTTTCAGCTTAATGGGGCTGTTTCATAAATCAAAGGCTTCAGCTTACTTAGTTGTTATATATTTTAAGCTTACCCCCGTTTCAAAAAGGGGATCCCAGACCGGACGGTTCCAGTTTTTTCCAGAGAGCTCTTCTCTGGAGCTACTGGCAGCACCGCAACAAAGTCCCGCCTCCTCTGAATGTTATCATGAAATCTGATGATTACCAAAGAATTTTGGGGTGCAACGTAGTGGCCAGTGTCAGAAAGTGGCATCTCCATCAGAGGTCATGGGTCTTCCAGCAGGACAATTACCCGAAACACACTTCAAAAAGCACTCAGAAATGGTTACAAAGCACAGGAGAGTTCTGAAATGGCCAGCCATGAGTCCAGATCTGAATCCCATAGAACACCTGTGAAGAGCTCTCAAAACAGCAGTTGGGAGAAGGCATCCTTCAAATCTGAAGGCCTTGGAGGAGTTTGCAAAAGAAGAGTGGTCCAAAATTCCAGTAGAGAGGTGTAAAAACGCATTCATGGTTACAGGAAGCGATGGATTTCAGTTATTTTTTCCAAAGGGGGGGTGCTACCAAATATTAAGTTAAGGGTGCCAATAATTTTGGCCAGTGCATTTTGGGTCTCTGTGTGGGGTTGTATCAGGTTTGACTTTTCTTCTCTTGTGTGTATGTGTGTGTGTGTGTGTGTGTGTGTGTGTGTATTGTTCCAAAGGAAACCAAAGAAATGAATGTGTGAGTACCAAAACATTTGCATCTGCAACAATTTTCTGAGAGAAGGGTTGCATTTTCTGACAATTGCAAGGGTGCCAATTTTTTCATCATGACTGTACTGTATGTGGTGCTTGAAAGAGTTGTCCAGAACTTTTGGACCAAAGAAAGGTGTGCTGGAGAAGGATGCCTTGGGCTTACTCCTCTCTGTGGAGGTCTGTGCTTCAGTCTCCTTAGTAAGCGACTTGTTAAGGAATCTTTTCAGGGGGTTGCTAGAGGAGCCAGAGATTGAGAAAGATGAGAATAACTTCCAGTATCCTCTTTATGCATGATTTTCTTGGGATGCAACCTGTTATATTTTTTTCAACTCTGCTTCCCAACCTCCATCCTACATATCTCAGTTACTCTTTTCTTCTAATGAATATTATCACTGCATGTCCTAAAAGAAGCTAAGTTAAATTTTTGCTTGAAAACTCTGCGTCGGGATGGTTTGACGTAAATTCATTGTCTTTTGTGTGATTCTATTTTTAGGAGGTTGAAACTGAGCAGTACTACAATTTTTTCCTAGCAGAGTTGAAAGAGCGCGGATACCACGGGTTCTTTAGTCCAAAATCAAGAGCTAGGACAATGTCAGAACAAGAAAGAAAGCATGTTGATGGCTGTGCAATATTTTTCAAGACAGAAAAGTAAGCAGAAATGTGTACTTTTCCCACTGGCTATAGTGAATTAATTTTCACAGTAAAATCTATTTTTAATTTTTCTTGTTAAACATCTGAGGCATTTCTGTATTCTTCTTGACAGTTGCTTTGTGGTACAAGCAGTTGCTTGGGGGGGAACAAACTTCATGGTATTTCAAATTGAATTGCTTAGGTCATAAAATTATCAAATATGAGACACTGATATCATTTTATGAATTATTATAATAGTTTGGCTTTTTGGTTAAATGTCAGATATTTAATACAAAATCTGACTTACTGATTGGAATGTGCAGTTTTTTGAGATAGTTTGGATACTGATTGAAGACGTATATCATGACTTTATGCTATTTGACTGTGTATTGTATATATCGTATCACAAATTTAATGAAATGAACATTTATCTAACAGTTGTAAGAAATTACGTCTTAGGAGACTGAGGTACAAATCAAGAGGCCATCTATAGATTCACTGGCTGACCTTGGGCATTCCTCTGTTCTGTTATGTACACCTCATCAGAAATATAAGCATAATAATACATGGGTTGTAAATATGTAAGGATTACAGCTAGCATATAGTGGTATGCAGTATAGTGGTGCCCTGCTTGATGACGATAATCCGTTCCAGCAAAATCACTGTAGAGCAAAATCATCATCAAGCGAAATAAAAAACCACATTGAAATGCATTGAAAACCGGTCAGTGCATTCCAATGGGGGAAATACCTCACCGTCCAGCGAAGATCCTCCATAGGGCGGCCATTTTCCGGTGCCTGTCTAGCGAAAAATCCATCCTGAACACAGTGGGGAGCCATTTTGCACAGCGGGCAGCCATTTTGAAACCCCGATGATCAGCTGTTTTTGATCGTCTACCAGTGGTAGAGGATGGATTAACGGTTTTGCATTTGTTCCTATGGGAACGAATGCTTTGACTTACAAAGTGTGCCTTGACATAAGAACAAAAAACAGCTGGAACGGATTAATCGGGTTTCAATGAATTCCTATGGGAAATGCCGCTTTGACTTACGAACACCATTCCATTACGGATTACGTTTGTAAGTCAAGGCACCACTGTATGTATTACCAGAGGTGTATTACCAGAACTGGCTACTAGAGGGAACCAGAGACTCTGCTATTTATAAGACTGTGATATCCACAGTTTTCAGCATCTGGGGGGGGGCAATGTAGAAACCTACTGTATTGTTTTTAGGTTGTGCAAATATTTTGATGTAGTCCACTTAAATAAAGTATATCAATCATATTGAAAAGTAAAGGGATGTATATATATAAAAATATACTGTGTTGTTTTAAGGTTCAGCTTGGTTCAAAAGCATACTGTTGAATTTAATCAACTTGCTATGGCAAACTCAGAAGGATCTGAAGCAATGCTGAACAGAGTGATGACAAAAGATAATATTGGAGTTGCTGTTTTGTTAGAATTACGAAAGGAATTAATAGAAATATCATGTAAGTAATCATCAGCCCACCTTTCCTACTCTCATTGTTTGTGCATGCATGCACCCTTTGCTGTCTTGGAGAAGAGAAAGTGTCTGCTTATAGTAAAAAATAAGTGGTCAGCAAAAAGGGTTAATATAAGTTGGGGAGTCTTTGACCCTCCTGATGGCCTGGAGTTAAGTTCTCAGAAGTCCCAGTCAGCATGGTCCATAGTAAGCAATTATGATAGATGTAGTCCGAAATAGCTAGAAGGCTAAAGTTAATCGCTAACAAGTGGTATTTTTAAAGCTTTTTATATTCTGTAGAGATGCCAGTTTATGCCTGAAAATTGGCTATAGTGTCATGTTTGTTATGATGATAGACACGGCAGTTGTAAGTGAGAGGCCATTTTACTGTCAGAACTGCCTAGAATTCTGCCAAAAGGACAATTTGTCACTTTTAACACCTAAAGAAAATGTTTTACCTACTTTGAGACACTTTAATATATTAAAGAATGCTCAGCTTTTGGCGGTGCAATGCAAAATTCTTTGATAATTTGATGAGAAATTAAGCATGTGAACTAAACATCTGTTAGCGTGTGCAGGCAGCAGTAAAAAAATAAGTTTCTCATCAGATCATTGCACGCTCCTTGTCTGGGTGCATATATAGCGCCCTGCTAAAATGTGAGAAATGTTAGATAATTACATGATTATATTGCCTTTGAAATTCTTACATAACAAATGCATTTTTAATCCCCATAGTTCTAAAAAAAACAAGAGTTAATAGGCCTGGAACAATAGGCATGAGAAAGCAGAGGCCAAATAGCAATTTATTAAGGCTTCAGTGCTTTCTCCTTCCTTAGACCCATCTCTGCTTCCTTGAGTCCTATGATTGTCAACCATCTTTTCCTTTTGACTGTTTTACAGTTTGCATTGTTCTGCAGCTGAGCTTAACACTAACCGTCTCTAGTAGTACTGAATGAAACCTGTGTCTTGTCAACCATATGTTCTTATAGTTTGTCACTGAACACAGTACCCCTATTAAGGTATTACTTGGACAAAATGCCAATCTCAATGAAAAGAGCTTTAGAATCACATGCTTAGCTCTGCCTTTGAGGTTACATAGGTCCATCTGCCTTGTCGTGAGCTGAGATATGTCTTATTTATGAGGAGCTACTAGCAGACAGTCCCTCAAGCTTAATCCAGTTGTGCATTGGCTCATTAAGTCAATGGGACTTACATAAGAGCTGACTTCATATTCTAGTTAGGACTAATAATTGGATCTAGTCCCGTATGTTTCAGGGCTCTCAATCATGTGAGGAGCCTTCATGTAGGTAAAACTCCCCATGGGGGTGGGTGGGTTACATTTAAACATGTGGAGGCTACCATGAATTGTGGAGGTTGAAGACATTCCCTTTTCATAGCCATGACAGCTCAGTAGGCCTGAATAGCCTTTTCATACGTTAGAACTCTTATATATGCACTTGCCTTTAAATGATCAGCAAGGGATAGAATGCAGCAGCCAAAGTATATTGCAAAAAAAAGGTAGAGGCCTGTAACCAAAATCCTATGGCGTTTGTGTAAGGTTACCTGTAAGTTGCTACAGGTAATTTCCGTGGTGCTAGCGTGCATTTCGGTTGTGTGCCTGGTTGTTGCGCAACCAAGATATGTCCCAATATCTTGTCAGTTTGTTATGCAAATCTTACGCAAACACCAATAGGATTCTGGCCTGTGTATATATTATAGATAGTATTTGCTAAAGGAAACTGCATGTAGTAGTATGTGCTTTGCAGACACATAAATTGCAGTCAGTCCAATAATGTAATAAATCCAGCAGAGGGAGCACAGAGCCTCTTTTATTTTTAAATCATAACATGGCTGGCCAAGTTAAAAAAAAAAATCCTGAATCTGTGGCATTCAAGTTAAATACCACTGACTGACTTGGATTATCACTAGTGAATCTGTTTTCATAACAGTCCTCTCTGTTATCTAAAATTCCTTATATTTTCTGTTTTAGCCGGCAAGGCGCACCCTGGAATGGATAAGCAGTTAGTTTTGGTAGCAAATGCACATATGCACTGGGACCCAGAGTATTCAGATGTGAAGCTGGTTCAGACCATGATGTTCCTTTCTGAGGTAAAGAACATAATTGACAAAGCATCTCGGAATCTTAAGCCCAGTCCTTCAGGAGAACACACAGCTATTCCACTTGTACTGTGTGCAGATCTGAATTCTCTGCCAGATTCTGGTAAGCACAGTCATAGTCAATTTACTGATTATAACTCTTAATTCGGTGCCTTTTTAATTTAGTGAATTGTTTTTGTTCTGAAATTGTTTACACTTTATTTCATCAGTTGTGCTTGAAGAACATTGATATAAGAGGATTATAGATAAAACCTGCCAGTTAAGGAAATCATAAATGTCAATAAAATCTAAAATAATATTGAGGAGGTGGAATTAAAGCAGCAAACCCTATGTCCCTCAACAAGCTATTATTTTCTCAGCCTCAGCACTTCATTTGTAACATGGGGATAATAGTGCAAACCCTTAAATGTTTGTTGTAAGAATGACTCATATACATGAAGTGTTCAGGAACTCTAAACAACTACTTGAATGTTGAGTGCTAGTGTTGAATTGGATTTCTTGAATTTAGATACTTTTTCTATGTTGTCCTTAACTGGGTCATTTTGTGCTAAATAATCTTGTGAACATGGAGGGAGGAGTTGGGGGAGCTTACACCAAGTGTTATAATAAGAACTATAAGCAAAGAGTTTTTAATTGCTTATGTTATTCAGATGGATGCAGCAGTATTATGATGGGCAGCTTATTTACTTGTATTTCTTTTTACTACCTTTTCCGTAGGTGTAGTTGAATATTTGAGCACAGGTGGCGTGGAAACAAACCATAAAGATTTTAAGGAACTGAGATACAATGAAAGCCTCACTAACTTCAGTTGTAATGGGAAAAATGGAACCACCAATGGGAGGATTACTCATGGTTTCAAATTGAAGAGTGCCTATGAGAATGGTCTAATGCCTTATACAAATTATACATTTGATTTCAAGGTGAGACTGTCGTTTAAAAGAAATCCCACCCCCTTAAGCTTATTTTATGGTTTATTTATCTTATGGTGTAAACCCTGCTCAGAAACTTTGGTTACTTATTAGGAAAGAAGTTGAAGTACAGTGGTGCCTCGATTTATGACCATAATCTGTTCCAGAAGATGGACGTAACTCAAAATGGTTGTAAGTTGAAGCACCATTTCCCATAGGAATACATTGAAATGCAATTAATCCATTCCGGCCAAAGAAAAACACACACACACACACACACACAGACAAATCACTGCGAGACTCATTGGAAATGCGATTAATCCCTTTCGGCTAGAGGGGGGGAAGCAATCAGGCGTGCAAGACCCATTGGAAATACACAGAAAACAAATGGAGCAGATTGGAAATGCATAGAGAACAAAGGGGATGGGTTGGAAATACAAAGAAAACAAAGGAAAAAGCAAGGGAAGCATGCAGGACCCATTGAAAATGGGGAACCCCCCCTAAAAAGCAACAAAACTCCCAAGACCCATTGGAAATGGGGGGAAACCAAAAAGCAAACAAACCCCCCAAGACCCATCGGAAATGGGGAAAACACTCCAAAAAGCAACAACACCCCCAAGACCCATCACAGCATAGAAACATAACCCTCCCCAGCTCAAAACCACACAGCAAAAACAGTTTTTAAAAGCAGAAAACAGCACCTTACCAGGCAGCCCGAAATCTCCCTGCAAACACACACACATGCTCACTCAGAAGCAGAAGTAAGGCAGTCTGAAGCCTCCTCCATGCACACACTCTAACTGCTGGGGCAAAAGAGCTACAAAGAAGCAGCCTTGTCGCCACCTACAGTTAGAAATTTGAATCTCCCGCCTTTTTTCCCAGCCTTTTTTTGTATGTAAGTGGAAGCTCCAGTCATAAGTAGAAGCAAAATTTTGCGGCCAGAGCTGGTCATAACTCAAAATGGTCATAAGTAGGGACATTTGTAAGTTGAGGCACCATTGTAGTAGTTAGGGACACATGAGTTGTAAAGGTGAGTTATTAAATCCAGCAAAGAAGAGCTTTTGGAGAAATTTATGGAAGTTTATAATTGGAGGAGAACCTCCCTCAGGCAACTGCACTTCCTTCACCTTCCGAATACTGTAGAGGTGTGCAGATCTCTTTTTTGGATTGCAGCTCCCAGGATTCCCCAGGCAGCACAGTTGCTTAGGGAATTCTGGGAACTTTGGTCTGAAAAGACAAATCTGTGCACCTCTGGTCCCCAGATCAATGACCAGAATATGTGCTTAAAAGAACTGTGGCCAATGGGGTGAATGTTCTCTCCAAGGTGACTGATCTCAGATGTCCAGGCACAGAAAGTATTACTGAGAATTCATTTAAGGCAGGGGTCCTCAACCTCCGGTCCTTGACCCGGCAGCAGTCTGCAGCCTAGGTAGGATCAGGTCACAGACACAGATCTCCTGCCACCCGTGACCACTGATGCGTGCGTGCGAGCACACTCCACCCAATGTGAGCGCGCATGCACGAGAGCAGGCCCTGCAAATGCCGCAGCATGCAGGTGCGCTCCACCCCCCATGAGTGCGCAGGCATGCAATGCCCCCCCAACTGGCCCGTGGTTGGGAAAAGGTTGGGGACCACTGCTCTAAGGTGTGTAGCTGCCCTAAAGTGTGCACATGCAACTCTGCCTCCCTCCACGCAACTTTCTTCCTCCTCCGCACAGCCAAGTGATTATCTAAATTTTCTTGAATGCCTCCAGTGTTGGAGCACTCCCCAACTCCAGAGGTCATAGCTAGCCCCTTTGGTTCTGATGCTGAGGGAGCCCCACGTGCACACAGGAGAAGGTGCTGAAGAGAGAGGTGGTGCCCTGCCCAGTGAGGCTGAGACTTAGAGGTTACGTTGATTACTGACCATGTTATTCCCCTTGTTAGTAACTGTGTGCCATCAAGTCAATTCTGGCTTACAGTGGGGACTCTTCTCATGTTTCTTTGTAGGTGTAAAGTACTCAGGAGTGGTTTGTCATTCCCTCCTCCTGGTAGTGTTCTGGGACTATGTAGACCAAACAGGCTGGCTTTTTTCCTGGGAGACACAATCAGGAGTTGAACTCGTAACCTCTGGCTCAGTTCCCCATTTAGGGAACTATCCAGCCCGCTTTCCTCTAGTGATTAAAGTGATTTTATGTACTCTCTTTTTCTGTACATAGTACAGCGAGTGAAAGACTTAGGGTGTTTTTAAAGTTCCTATGCTACCTTTTATTCTGCTGTTACCCAGTTAGGCATAAGACACTTTTAAAAAAAAAAGACAAATTTTAAAACCAAAAACTAAGAACAAAATGATCTACAGTGAAATGGGAAATATTACAAGGTTAATTTGGGCCCAGAAGCATGCTGGTGGCCAATGTATGCCACTTGTGTTTTTTTAAATATGAAAATGATATAGAAATGCGTTTAACTATGTGTAAGAACTGGATCTGCTTCATGGGACTTGAAAAATACTCTTTTGCCCATTTCTTCTCTCCCTTTGTAGGGTATTATTGACTACATCTTCTACTCTAAACCTCAGCTGAATATTCTTGGCATCCTGGGACCTTTGGATCCTCACTGGCTAATAGAGAACAATATAAGCGGCTGTCCCCACCCGCTCATTCCTTCTGACCACTTCTCACTTTTTGCACAACTGGAGCTGGTATTGCCTTTCCTGCCACCGGTAAATGGAATCCATTTGCCCAGCAGGAGGTAGTCAAGTACATTTTAGAGGATAACCTCAGTATAATTTGTAAAATTGTAAAATCTGAATATAAAGGAGTGAGGTATGGCCAACAGGGATCTTTCTTAATGATCTTCATTTTAAATCTAATTATTTGATAAAGAAATAGTAAAAGCCAGGTGCTATCAGACACACAATTCTGAGCCCAACATGCTTTATATACTGTTAGACAGGGATTGGTGCTTTTGCACCCTTCTTAGATTTGTTACAAGTAATCTGTTCTATCCAATGTAATATTTCATGCCTTGAAAATAGGGAATTGCTATAATAAATTCTCTTTTGCACAGATACCTGTAGCACTACTTTTTTGAGGCCAGTAGTAAAACATCAAAAGACCATTCTTCCATACTTCACTCCCTTCTTTTTCAGACTTGTTTGTTTGTAAAATATAGAATTTGAATTTAGCCTTTATTGATTGTATATGAACAACAGAAAACCTGATTTATGAGATTTTGTACTTTAAAAAAAATCAGATTTGGAAAATGATTGTATTGTAAACTAAGGCTAAATTTTTATCTGTTTCATGTGTTATAAAGGCCAGCTTGTAAAAGAAGTTGCACCAGGCTTTCTCTGCTAATGATTTGCACTGTTAGGGTTTTTAGCCCTTATGTACTACTTCATTTTTTAAAAAACTGAGAACACTGCTTTGAAATCTGAATTTGATAAAATCATAGCAAATTCCTTCAAGCTAATAACATACATGCATTTCTTTCTTTCTACTGAAATCGAGGTCATCAGCTTGTCTTAGAACATGTAAGCTAAACAGTGACTGAGTTGGGCTGTTGTAGATAGCCTTTGTCAAGATGGTCAGTCTAACCGTTTTGTGTCAGAAGTTGACCTTCAGAATAACTGTGTACAGCTTTTCAGTTTCTGTGTCAAGTCACCCATTTCCTATCTCCACTGTGCCTGCTTGATTTTGTTCTCAAATAGCACTGCCTGTGCATGCAGAGAGAACCTGTGCATCCTCTTTTATTTTTTTAAAATAATGTTAACATTTTGTGAAAATTTTATGAAGATACTTTTGTATAAGCTGTGGCATCTATTTTTTTTCCTTCGTGAAACGTTGAATATCACTTTTTGAACATGTTCAGATTGTGGGTACACAAATTCTAAGCTTCTTAATACCCATGCACTGCTTCTTTCAGTGTCATTGCACAAAGCTGTGTGTGTTCGTTTCTCTCTTCCTTCTCCCCACCTCCCCACCCCGCTCGCTGAATACTATCATGTGAATTCCTTTTCAATTTCAGCCTGTTCATTCCTCAGTCATCATTCCTTGGAGATAAAGTGTACCGTCTTTGTTTTATGAAGCAGTGTAACTAGAGATGCATTTTCAGTACAGGTCCCCTAGACAACACTTCAGATCGATCATTAAAGTGACCAAGTTCTAGTCTGTGAAGTGTCAACAAAACATAGGTTGTAGTGTACTCTTAGTGTGCCATTAGTATTTGAAAGCCAAGTACACTATAATATACACAGGTAAAGCAGATATATTCTAAAAGGGAAATTCAATCTAATCCTTAGTAAATCTCTTCAGTAATAAATCCGTTTCATATTGAGAGAGGGAACTTGGTCAAACTCAGTGGTGGGATTCAGCAGGTTCGCACCAGTTCTACAGAACCGGTAGCTAATGTATTATTGGTGCTGCAGAACCGTTTGTTGGCTTGCTGAATCCCACCACTGGCCAGGATCAGTGGTGGGCTTCAGCAGGCCAACAAACGGTTCTACAGAACCTATAAAACATTAGCTACCGGTTCTGTAGAACTGGTGCGAACCTGCTGAATCCCCCCACTGGCCAGGATCAGTGGTGGGCTTCAGCAGGCCAACAAACGGTTCTACAGAACCTATAAAACATTAGCTACCGGTTCTGTAGAACTGGTGCGAACCTGCTGAATCCCCCCACTGGCCAGGATCAGTGGTGGGCTTCAGCAGGCCAACAAACGGTTCTACAGAACCTATAAAACATTAGCTACCGGTTCTGTAGAACTGGTGCGAACCTGCTGAATCCCCCCACTGGCCAGGATCAGTGGTGGGCTTCAGCAGGCCAACAAACGGTTCTACAGAACCTATAAAACATTAGCTACCGGTTCTGTAGAACTGGTGCGAACCTGCTGAATCCCCCCACTGGCCAGGATCAGTGGTGGGCTTCAGCAGGCCAACAAACGGTTCTACAGAACCTATAAAACATTAGCTACCGGTTCTGTAGAACTGGTGCGAACCTGCTGAATCCCCCCACTGGCCAGGATCAGTGGTGGGCTTCAGCAGGCCAACAAACGGTTCTACAGAACCTATAAAACATTAGCTACCGGTTCTGTAGAACTGGTGCGAACCTGCTGAATCCCCCCACTGGCCAGGATCAGTGGTGGGCTTCAGCAGGCCAACAAACGGTTCTACAGAACCTATAAAACATTAGCTACCGGTTCTGTAGAACTGGTGCGAACCTGCTGAATCCCCCCACTGGCCAGGATCAGTGGTGGGCTTCAGCAGGCCAACAAACGGTTCTACAGAACCTATAAAACATTAGCTACCGGTTCTGTAGAACTGGTGCGAACCTGCTGAATCCCCCCACTGGCCAGGATCAGTGGTGGGCTTCAGCAGGCCAACAAACGGTTCTACAGAACCTATAAAACATTAGCTACCGGTTCTGTAGAACTGGTGCGAACCTGCTGAATCCCCCCACTGGCCAGGATCAGTGGTGGGCTTCAGCAGGCCAACAAACGGTTCTACAGAACCTATAAAACATTAGCTACCGGTTCTGTAGAACTGGTGCGAACCTGCTGAATCCCCCCACTGGCCAGGATCAGTGGTGGGCTTCAGCAGGCCAACAAACGGTTCTACAGAACCTATAAAACATTAGCTACCGGTTCTGTAGAACTGGTGCGAACCTGCTGAATCCCCCCACTGGCCAGGATCAGTGGTGGGCTTCAGCAGGCCAACAAACGGTTCTACAGAACCTATAAAACATTAGCTACCGGTTCTGTAGAACTGGTGCGAACCTGCTGAATCCCCCCACTGGCCAGGATCAGTGGTGGGCTTCAGCAGGCCAACAAACGGTTCTACAGAACCTATAAAACATTAGCTACCGGTTCTGTAGAACTGGTGCGAACCTGCTGAATCCCCCCACTGGCCAGGATCAGTGGTGGGCTTCAGCAGGCCAACAAACGGTTCTACAGAACCTATAAAACATTAGCTACCGGTTCTGTAGAACTGGTGCGAACCTGCTGAATCCCCCCACTGGCCAGGATCAGTGGTGGGCTTCAGCAGGCCAACAAACGGTTCTACAGAACCTATAAAACATTAGCTACCGGTTCTGTAGAACTGGTGCGAACCTGCTGAATCCCACCACTGGTCAAACTGCTTTTGTTTCAACTGCAGGCAGAGAAACAAAAGGTTACTCTTGAATTGAGGAGTTCTGAGGATAATGAATTTTTAAAAAATAAAATGGGTCTTAGTAATAATGACTGAAAATTTTATGAAGAGGATACTATCTGCGTTTGGAAATATGTCACCATTTTGTTTTAGAGAAAACAATAAATTTGCAATGAGCTCATGTTTAAAAAACATTTTAAAATTTCAGTAGGAAATGTCTAGATCTTGAATCCTTGTCTAGGACCTGATTTCTCTTTTGTTATTTTGTTGGGTTTTTTTTGTTTTGTTTTTTGTTTTTTAGCTGTTCCAACACCAAACATGTCCAGTTTATAATCAGTACATCGGAATGCTGGTAATAATTGATGTAGTAGATTCAATTAGTAGTGTTGCTTTCTCTGTTTTGTTTTTTGGGTTTTGGGGTTATTTTGTAAAAGTGTGAATAAAAGGTGTTTTACTCATGTTTCCTTAACAATGTGTTGGTAATGTGCATCATGACAATTTTCAGAGGCAATGAAGCCAATTTAGCTTGTCATATTCAGCAACTTGTTTTGTTTCCTGTTTATCTGGAATACTTAATAGTATGTCCAGAAAGCTTTATGGAAGGGAAGCACTTATTCATTTTATATTTCTTAGAAGGAGGTTTTTTTTTTCCTTTTAAGCTGGAGCTTGAGTGCACTTGGTATATCCTAAAGGTTTAAGCTTTACACGTGTTTTTACCTTTATTTTTCAGTCTTAAATATATCTATAATCTATAGTTATATGAATTTATGGGAGCACATTTAAAGATTAAACACTTATTCATGTGCTCAAAGATGCTGCATTGCCTGGACATATTGCAATCTATGGGCAGCTCAAATTACTTATCCATGTTTGGGATAGTAAGATTCCTGAAGTATGGAGAGAAAAACATAGATCCCCTATGGTATCAGTGAAGCTTTTGGTCAGGTCCTACTGCAGTGGATTGAAACTTACTCTAAGGAAATACCATGCATCTTTGGAGAATGATAGGTTGCACCAAATGTGTCTGGCAGTAAGTATCAGAAAAATAATACTTTGAAAGACAATTTTTCCTGCATCAAACAAATTTAGACATTTCATAAATGAATGCAATAAATTATCTGTCTTCAACAAAATGCTCACTTAACAATAACCTTAACACTTTATCTACTCAAGGTGGCTTTGGATGTTGCCATAATATATGTTCAGTGTTTCTTATTAATGTAATCACATATATTTTTAAAGAAAAGTGCATAGAGCATTGCTGGGCATGAAGCTCCCTCTCCCCCTCCTGCAACTTAATCAAACTAGATAGGAACACATATGGAAAAACCTCATAACTACAGCCTGCATATTTCTGGTTGATAGTTGTCATGCACATGCATAAATTCAGTTACGGTGGAACTTAAGTGGGAAGTATAAAGTGTCAGAACTGCTGGCATTTTTAAGATCACAGAGGAACTATATATAACTATTTTGGTCCCTTTTTATTTGTGGGTTTAAGAAACGGAAGTCTCAAATGTAAAAAACCATTCAGGATGCAGACTTGCACCCACTGATGTAAATTTTTGGCAAAAATTCAATCATTTCTGCTGTGGCTTAAATGTGTAATAGTAGGTTCTCATGTCAAGTTCTCACTTCATCCATGGGACAAAAATCTCCCAAAACAAAATAATTGCACTACCATTTTCAGCAGAATTAATCACATGCAAATTTTGCAAGTCAAAATGACTGCTTAAGTAGTGAGTCTGTTCCCACCCCCCACATCCAGCCTGACACAGTATTTTAGTATATGTTAACTTCTGCTATACTTTTTGGTTGTGTAAGCTTTTTTAAAATGTAGGTATCTTGGTATGTTTAAGTAGTGTCTAAAATTTAGATGACCTAGTCTCTATTCACAGTACTTCTGTATAACGTGTAATGCACTGGACTAACTCTTGTTTACCATACGTGTAACAAAAACAAAAAAACAAAAACCAGCACATCATCTGCACTAAGCTCAAAGAATGTTGCATTTGTCTATAGGCAGCTCTTCAATATGATAAATGGGAAGTTGAATATGGTCTGATGGTAAACAAGGGCTTTTACTGTTCTCTTCAGTGGAACTTTCTTCTTGGTCAAATTTTAACTAGCTAGTATTATATTTATATACAGGGTTGTCTTTTTTTCTTTACCAATGTATTTTCCTACTCATAGCTGACCAATAAATTCAATATCTGTTTCAAATCTCTTTGATGTCTAATATTCATATTTCACCTCTGCAGTGTGAATGCATCCAAACTGACAGGGGCTTTCTGGTTTGGTCTGATAGGGTGTTTGGCCAAACTGATAGGGGCTGTTAAGGTCCTGTGCTGAGAGCAGTCTCTTTGCAGTTGGGTCATAGCTCTGTTTTACCTACAGAAACATAACAAGATTGTTTGTATCCTTGCATTGAGGGGGGGGGTTGGTTTGATTGTATCCCTGCATTGAGCAGGAAGTTGGACTTGATAGCCTTGTAGGCCCCTTCCAACTTCACTTTTCTATGATTCTATGATAAGAATTTGGATCTGAGGGAGAGGGCATAGTCACTTTGTACCTATACTTTTCCCTCCCCGCTTCTCATAAAGGGAATTAAATATTTTCCCTAGATCCTGGACAAATTCAAATAGCACTTTTGTCAGTGATAAAACCAAAACGTAGATGAGTGACTGGCCAACGTGACTGGGGAGAATGAGCATGAGAGTTAATAAAGTCACTTTCCTGCTCCCTGGATAAAACTGATGCGAATGTTGACTGTGAAAAGTGACAAATGTATTTTGGCATGGGAAGACAAAGCTGCATTACATTTTTAGAAACATTTGCTAAATTTGTATTTGCAAAGGTTTTCACGGCTGGGATCTAATGGTTGTTGTGGGTTTTTCGGGCTCTTTGGCCGTGTTCTGAAGGTTGTTCTTCCTAACGTTTCGCCAGTCTCCGGAGTGCTGTCCTCTGAAGATGCCGGCCACAGAGACTGGCGAAACGTTAGGAAGAACAACTTTCAGAACATGGCCAAAGAGCCCGAAAAACCCACAACAACCATTTGCTAAATTTGTTGGTAGATTTTAAATACGTGTTCTTTACAGTCATGAAGTAAGAACCATTCCTTTTTATTGTTTCTAAAGTAATTCCTCACAGTACAATTTTAATGAAGGTTTCAACAACACAAGAAAAGCTGAATTCAGTTGCCT